CGATCGGGTTTGATTCTTCTAGTAGTGTTGCTCTCTAACCTAAGTCTGGAGTTTAGGCCCTTTGGAGAAAAAAATAAACCGGGAGTGATCTCCCCTAAACTTTCTCGAAAATTGTTATATAATCCTACAGGGGATGCCAACGCAGCATATAGACATGATTTTTAATCCGTTTTTAATTACTAAAACTTTTTAAAATAGATAAGGATTTCGTAGAAAAAAAATTGCGCACCAAGTGAACGTCAAACTGTATGTGCGTAATAGTGCGGAATAGTATTAGTACTTTATAAATTCATATGCGTTTTTTTTTATCGGAAAAAGCGTAAATTACTACTTCCGTCAACGGAAATTATTCAAAAATTTGAAAGAATGCAGAAAATTAGATATTTTACTTATGTGTGAAATTTTGTTTATCTATCTGAAACAGTACTCACGTTATAGGCTTTTGAAAAACTAAAAGTAGAATAAGTTCCATTTCTGATTATCGGAAATAGCTTAGAAATGTATACAGAGTTATAAATATGATATAATACTTATATGTTGACACACACACATACATACAGACATACATACACACACATACACAGACATACTACCAAAATTGCAAAATTATATTTTTCCGACACAGGGACGATTTTTGCACGATTGCAATACTTGCTCTATAATTCGTATACGAGAAAGTACAAAGCATCTTTTACAACAATTCTTATATTTAAATCAAACTTTGCTTTTCAATAATCTGGCCGTCACATGGATCTGCATTTATAAGATCTTCTAGCCTAGTGTTCATCTTACTGGTATGTGTTGTCTCTAGACCAGGTGTTCACTTCGTTTTTCCACAGATCCAAGTGTACTTTTATTAGAGACAAGTCGTTTAAACACCCAGTATTGTTAGATAATGTTCAATAAGTTCCATAAGTGTGGCACCCCCAACACTTAAAATCCGATAAGGGTCTGATTGCCATAGGCCTAGAACCCTTGACTAGATTTTAATTTTTTTTTAAATTTTTTAGTAAAGTACGAATGGACTTGAAAACCTGCATTCTTGTCTAAGCCAATATGTAACAGACTATGCGATAGAAATAAAGGTGATGTAAAAATATGAAGATTTCTTCATTTTATATATAGGATACAAATATATATATACAAACACACACACACACACATGTGTATATATATATATATATATATATATATATATATATATATATATATATATATATATATATATATATATACATACATATATATATATATATAAAATTATATGACTATTTAATTATATATGTCTATATAGAAATAGGCATATATATATATATATATATATATATATATATATATATATATATATATATATATCATTTCATATATATATCATATATAGGACTGTATGTAGGCCTTTATATATATTTATATATTGGCATATATATAATTATATATATATTAGATATATATATATATATATATATATATATATATATATATATATATATATATATATATATATATATAATCTAGCGAAAAGCTCCCCACCCCCTTTTATATGTAACTACGTATGGTACATAATTTACTTTAGCCTGACATATTCCTCCCCGACACAAGTATCTGTGAGTACTGCATCAAACACAAATCCAATAACCTAAATTAATCCCGCGCCATCTCATCAATCATGTTACCCTCTATAAGCGCCATTAGTGAACACTTAACCGTCACCATACATCATCAAGGGGAATGAGGCAGCCTTTCTCAAACGGGAGGTGAGTTATCCCCCATTTACAACAGCTGTTATGTATCGACTGTCTGAACTTTAATCGGATCTTTTAAAAATGCGATCTTATCTTTTTTGTCAATAAAAAAAGGAACGGCTCAAAAATGTAGATGGCTATCGTGAGTTATGAGGTAATGGAGAGGGGTGAAAGTAGCGGTAGGTTCAATGGATGAGTACTCCATAGGATCAGACTTCTACTAGAACTAGAGCGAGTAAAGGAAAGTGCATACGGTCGTTATAAATGGCGTCATGTTTTTGGTAGATGTTATTACCCCTCAAACCCTTATCCAATATCACACATCGTCACATGAACTACATTCTCCGCTCATAAAATGACATCACACATGAGCATATCTCTAATGCCCCACTCTCGCCCCCCCCCCCCTTACCTAATTTGTCTGTACTACATTGTTAAAGCAATTTTTCAAGAATAGAGTATTTAAATGTAGGTTGTCTAAACTAGAGTATTTAAATGTAGGTTGTCTAAACTAGAGTATTTAAATGTAGGTTGTCTAAGCTAGAGAATTTAAACACTTGATGTCTAAAGTATTTAAACACAATTTCTACAGACTGCATTATGTAATCACAATTTGTCTATACAAGTGGAATTAAATAAATATTTTTTTCTAGACTAGTGTATTTATACAGATCGTGTCTAGATTAAGTATTTTACCATTATGTCTATACCAGAGTATTTAAACACATAATATCTAGAATAGAGTATTTAAACATAGTTTGTCTAGACTAAAGTATTTAAACAACATGTCTAGTCTAGAGTATGTAAACAACATTTTGTCTTGACTAGCGATTTAAACAAAATGTCTAGACTAGAGTATTTAAACACACTTTGTCTTGACTAGCGATTTAAACAGTATGTCTAGACTTAAGTATTTAAACACAGGTTGTCTAGACTTAAGTATTTAAACACAGATTGTCCAACCGATGCTAATGCTTTAAAAAAGTTGCCCGTACAAAAGCCGATGTAAATCAATTCTGTTTATGCTGCTACAGATGTTTTAAGAAAATAACAAATAAAAAGTTTCAGCCCACAACTGATCTAACACACCCTGTAATAAACACATTTTAACCCACAAGTGTTCCACAAACCCCGATAGCATAAAACGACCACGGTTATATGAGAATGTAGCTTGTTGATAATGTCGTCCATTTTCTACCATTTTCTCCAGAGGTTGTTCATATGATAAGTTTGTTGGTAATTTCGTACATTTTCTCCAGAGGTTGTCCATATAATAAGTGTGTTGGTAATTTCGTACATTTTCTCCAGAGGTTGTTCATATGATAAGTTTGTTGGTAATTTCGTACATTTTCTCCAGAAGTTGTCCATATAATAAGTTAAATCTACCCACCCCTTATCTGTGTAGTCCCTGACAGTGACCACAAATGTGAGCCTTTGTAACCCCTACTGCATGCACGATTAGTTTGCACCATTTCAATCTTCTACAATACTGTTTTGTGTGGGACGGTATGGTCGACTGCTAGCCCAAAGGTCGAGAGTTCGGATCTCGGTCCGGACTAGTACCTGTAGGAAGTTCCTAAGTCCGCCCTTCTCTGGTGGGTACCTGACTCAGGTTAAGGAAACAAAGGGACATCAAAGATGACGATTGTTACGGGTCATTTGTAGGTTATATAGAAAGAAACTAGAATAATCTAGAACTAGAGGAGAGTGCGTGTGTGAGTTGAGTTCACCCTACTGTGTAGTTACCCCCGGTGTGTTTATGTAATGTTAACCGAAGGTCGAATGCGGTATAAAAGCTAGAGTGAATTTGTTGTCAGGGGTTAGTTGGTAGCGGTTAGGCGCGAGGGCTACTCTGTTATGTGAAGAATTGAGTCCAAATAAAAGTATTGAAGTTAACCACGAATCATTTCCTGAGTTGAACCAAACCCAGACGTAACAATGATGCTATTGTGTATCTCATTATATACTGTGACAATTGGTATTCAACATTTTAATGAACTAAATTTACATGTACCCATGTTAAGCCCTGCAGTTATCTGTGTTTTACTACTTAGCTAATTTTACTAGCAGGCCGTAAACCCTTGAACAATGAAGTGGTTATCGAACCTTGTTCTTACTGCAAATTATCATTTTGTGGCAGTAGAATACACGTTGTATGGTGAACGGAAAATGCGCAACGTAAAACTGCGCAATATAGAACTACGCACAAAAAAAGTGCGCAAGGACATTTTCGTTTTCTTTGACAGAGCATTCATAGACATTAACAAAGAATGACCACATATACATTGTAGCATACAAAACACTTATCCACGATCTATAACAAAATGTATATAATTAATTTGTCATGCGCATTTTTCTGTTTGCGCAATATTTCCGTTGCGCAGTTTTCCGTTAGCCCATTGTATTTAATTTAAATATATCCCCAGGTAAAAGTGACCAAGCTTCGCTACCGGTTAAATTAATGCGATGTAAAACTATGATTAAGCCGTTAATACCCCTCTCCCTTTTCCTTACCTACATAAAATATTCTTTGCATGACTGCGCAAGGATCTGCTCTATAGAGAAGGAAGCTATTAAATTGTACATAACCTCTAATCTCTTTTACACAGAATTATACGTATGAGAGTATTGATAATTTAATTCTATACAACAGCTGTTCTTTTTCTCTCATTTACAATATACCTTTTTACACATCGATTCTATCAAACCTATTTTTTTTTTAGATTACATCTCACTTAAACCCAACTTTTCAAATTGTGTAAACCAGAGATTAAGTTCTAATTTAATAAGATTGACGATTTTAAAAAAAAATGATTAATGCTAAATGACCGCATTTGACATTTGATTGATTCACTTGCATGTAATTTGTCCTGTATTTTGTAGTTCAAAATGTAACTATATATATATATATATATATATATATATATATATATATATATATATATATATATATATATATATATATATATATATATATATATATATATATATATATATATCCTGTCACCACCTTCATTGAAAAGACTTGATCCCCTTACGGAGTTAGGGTACCTGAAATAGAAAAAACGTCTTACATAGGTACTCATTGGAGTTCATGTAATTTGGAGTATCACATATTTTCTAATTAACACTTTATTCATTTGTGTCGCTTTTCGAACCTCCAAAGTTCACTCTCAACTTGTCAATAAAACAACACAATAGTATCAATTTTAATATTTATTTATTTATTTAATTAAAATACATTTATAATAAACTGTGTAAGAATCGGTATTTTTTCTTGGCAATCTGAAATACAATGTGTAGAAAAATTTTAAAAAATTATACATTAGTTTAAAAATTCAAAAATATATGTGTATGTATGTACAGTGGCGTCACTACGTGGGGTGTCAAACTACGAAGAAACACCACCGTTATAAGCTACAGGAGATTTAGTCCTACCTGTTTTTGTCGAAAACTCTTCATTTCTCAGGCGGCTGAAAGTGAAAGTGAAACTAAAGTCAATAACCCTTTTAGTCCACTTTGATAAAACCTCTGTTATTATACTTTAAGGTGATATCTATACTGGTAGACCCTTTTTTTTAGAATATTTAATTTCTTTCTTAAATACTGAATGTATACTAATAGTATAACAATTCAAAGACAAAAATGAAACAAGTAAGTTTTTTAAAAAGTTTTTTTTTTTTACTTTTTTTTTGAGAAAAAGGTGTGATTTTGTTACAATTAAACAAAATTTAAAAAATCAGAAAAAAACTAGTTTATTATTAATTAAATCTTTTGAGAAATATTTCACAATCTAAACTTATGGGGACATTAGAGATGATTTTGAATGCTGAAATAACACTTCTCCCTTTTGCTTTGTTGTACTAGTATTTCCATTCCATCGTGTTTGACGTAATAAATCTACTACCTATCTAAAACTAATGTCTAAAATTACAGCAACTCTACATCATCATTCTTAACTTAACGATAGCATTTTGTCTACGATAGCTATAGTTTAAAATAAAAGGTGTAGAGCCTATGTTCCTTAAACTAAAAAACATTCAAATCGACAAATCTATAGCGCAATACGAACATTTCAACACGACCATTAAGAGCTATTTTAAGAAATCAATGTTTAATTTTATCTGCAAGAAACTCACTGTAGTAGCAGGGTTGGCTCTAAATGTAGTCTGTACTTCCGGTTTTGGTTCGCTGGGCGGGGTGACGTCATCAGGTTTGTTTGGAGGTCGAACACATTTCGTTTGGCTGCAGTCCGTCTTTACGGTAGGCAAAATATTAATGGGTAGTAATCGATATAATTGATGGCAAAATGTGTAATGGATAGCAAAATGTGTAATCGATGGCAAAAGTTGTAATGAATAGAAAATTTCATAATGGATAGTTAACGTAGGAATTAATAGCAGGCTTTATGATGGGTAGTAAAATTTGTAATGGATAATCAAAAGTGTTATGGATAGCAAAAGGTGTAATGGGTCGTAAAAGTATTAATGGATAGCAAAAGATATAACTGATGGCAAAAGTTGTAATGGATAGAAAAAATGTGCAATCGATAGCAAAAATTGTAATGGGTAGAAAATTTCATATTGGATAGTTGAAGTGGAAATAAGTAGCAAGTCTTTGGGTAGCGAATGGATAGCAAAAAGTGTGTAATGGATAATAAATTGTGCAATAGATAGCAAAAGATCTAATAGATAGTAAAAGTAGTAATGGATAGAAAATTTCATATTGGGTACTTAAAGTAGTAATATAATGGATATTATAATGGATACCAAAAGGTGTATTGGGTTGTAAAATTAGAAATGGATAACAAATCAAAGTTATAGTGAATAGCAAGTATCGTAGTGGACAGTCATTACCATGTTCTTTAATGATAGCTAAAAAAAAATCCCAAGTGTAAAAAAGTCATTTTGTACACAAAACTCATATCTACCGACGAAGACATGATGTTACAAAACTTACCAATAATAGCTAGATTTATAACGGAGTTGTCAACATAGGATACAAAATCTATGACCAGTTCACACACCTCATAAACACACAGCACCCCCATCCCCTCCCATCTCCTTACACCACAAGAACCACGACATAGGTTACACTACAAAACTTTGTGAATTTCAAAATAATTTATGGAAAATCATAAGAGAATCATATTAGAAATATTTGCCAAGTCTTAAAAAAGGGGGAAAAATAGGATATTACCAATCTTTTTTTCCTGACCAAATTCTCTGAAATAAAAGGCAAAATTAAAGTAAGCTGAAAGTAAAGTTATCGCATTTTTTTAATTTAAAAAGTATACTTTTTTGCTACTTTAAAACATTCTTTACATCAACAACAACCACATATTAGCTTATATCATTCAACACTTACTCCACTATCGCTCAACTATGGAATCTTTATTGGCAATATCATCTAATTTGCAGTTTCTTCTCCCCCCCCCCCCCCCCCCCCGAGAAAGTTTACTGCCTCCTCCCCCCCCCCCCCCACCCGGCTTCGAACGAAATGTAATTAATATAGAAAACATATACTTCTACCAGTGTCTGCCCCCCCCTCCGGAAAATGTAGTCCGCCCCCCCCCCCCCCGAAAATATCAAGTGCCCCCCACACCCCGGAGAAGAAACACTGCTAATCCGAATTGGTGTTTTGAGGCTAGTCTACAATCTCATGTGACGATTTTGATTTGAGTAACTAGTGGGCAGTGGCGTAGCGAGGTCGGGTGTCACCCGGTGCGGCAATTAATGGTGTCACCCCCCAGAGGCGTAGCGACCCTTCCCGTGGACAAACTTTCAATTTTCGATTTTAACCCCCCCCCCCTCCTCTCAAACTTACGATTTACACCCCCCCCCCCCTCAAAATTTCGATTTGCATCCTCCCCCCTCAAACTTTCAATTTGCAACTCTTAAAAGACTATTTAACACTCGAATTAATCACTTAATTAAGTGGAATTATCATTTTTCTCTATATATTTTGCTCTTTTTTTGCCTTGGTGTCACCCCCCCCTAAACGGTGTCACCCGGTGCAGTCCGCTACCCCCGCCCCCCCCCCCCCCCTCGCTAAGCCTCTGCTAGTGGGTACAATAGTAGCACTGATGGTGGCACCTTTACCTACCTGGTGCGCTTAGGGTGGAGATTATCAACAGAGTCAGACCTAGAACCAAGGTGTATTGTAGCTTAGCCATGGTGGGCAGGTCTGCAGGTGGTGAGAGATTAGACCGCAGTTGGTGATACCTCAGTGTGCAGTTGGTGATACCTCAGTGTGTAGTTGGTGATACCTCTGTGTGCAGTTGGTGATACCTCAGTGTGCAGTTGGTGATACCTCAGTGTGCAGTTGGTGATACCTCAGTGTGCAGTTGGTGATACCTCAGTGTGCAGTTGGTGATACCTCAGTATGTAGTTGGTGATACCTCAGTATGTAGTTGGTGATACCTCAGTAGATAGTTGGTGATACCTCAGTGTGCAGTTGGTGATACCTCAGTGTGCAGTTGGTGATACCTCAGTGTGCAGTTGGTGATACCTCAGTGTGCAGTTGGTGATACCTCAGTGTGCAGTTGGTGATACCTCAGTGTGCAGTTGGTGATACCTCAGTAGATAGTTGGTGATACTTCAGTAGATAGTTGGTTATACTTCAGTGAGTAGTTGGTGATACCTCAGTGTGTAGTTGGTGATACCTCAGTGGGTAGTTGGTGATACCTCAGTGTGTAGTTGGTGATACCTCAGTGTGCAGTTGGTGATACCTAGTGTACAGTTGGTAACAAACGTTTTAGCAGTTGGTGATTAATAAAACTACTTTGTGACTGCAATAATATGAACTTAAATTAAATCAATGCACATTCAATTTAACGCTGAATCAAGCAAGCATACATGCGTCATCAAGGTACGTCACACTCTGAGATAGATATAAATAATGGACTTGACAGAAAACTCCGTGCAGCTGGTGTTGGTATCTCTATCCCTGGTTCAACTGACCAAATACTCAAACTCAAAGATTCTGCCCCTATATACGACTATAAAACTCCAGATTCTACATCTAAATGAGATAGCCGAATCTAGATTGTATATAAATGTGATTAACAGAAACTAGATTCTTTCATTATTTGATTGAAACTAGATTCTACACCATTAAATGTGCATTTAAAAACCACATAATCTTATGTGTAGCTTGAATGTCGATACACCACTAACTACAAAAAGATAAACACAATCTATGTGCATTCGCTAAATTTTACTCAAAAAAAAAATATTTATTTTTTTGTTAAAAATAACATTCATAATTATATACAGGGGCGGAACTACCATACCGCCAGACCCCGCTTAGGGGCCCAGTTCCGACCAAAAAACAATGAATTTTTTTTTTTAATTATGTTTTTCATGCATCTTGAAAGTGGTTTTGTAAAAAAAAAATAAAAAAATAAAACAGGTCTACTATAGCAGAGATCGTTGCGTAGAAAAATATTTTAAAATCTACAAGAGCTATAGTTTGAAAGGTAGGTAAACATTCACACTACTTCCATGACTTACTGCCCTTCTTTAAAATAGGGATGCCCACGAAGCTTATTTAAATAGTTTTGTACTATGTATATTAAAAAGCAATTGATTCTCTGAATTGTCATTTAAATAAAACGTACTATACAATAGTATAGCTATAAAAATCAATGTTTTCAAAATTGATATTATAAAAGCCAAAAATGAAAAAAATAAACATAATGCGAGAAACCATTCACGAATCAAGCTAACGTCTTTATATATTTTTGACTACCATGTTTATGACAATCTCTCACGTACTCATGAGTTTGGACTAAATATTTTCTGGGTTGTTCTCCCAGAATGGTTATATATTGCAAAGAAGTAGACTAAATTACTCAGTTAGGAAATAGATTATATATATCTATATGTATCTATATATATCTATATCTCTATCTCTATCTCTATCTCTATCTCTATCTCTATCTCTATCTCTATCTCTATCTCTATCTCTATCTCTATCTCTATCTCTATCTCTATCTCTATCTCTATCTCTATCTATATCTATATCTATATCTATATCTATATCTATATCTATATCTATATCTATATCTATATCTATATCTATATCTATATATATATATATATATATATATATATATATATATATATATATATATATATCATGTAGCCCCACACAAACAACTTAGAAACGTTACATCCTAGGCTAAAGCTCATCCCCACAACTACTCACCTGCCGACGTACAATTTGCCGTATACCGTCGTGTCGTGACAGGCAATTTATATAGACAGGTGAGCAAAACCTGTTCCCCTTCATCACGACCAACCGTCATTTATTAGACCAAATACTGACTCAAACCTGACAAACACAATCTTCCAGTAACCACCTGATATTGAACTACCCCATACAAGAACACCTGCGCGTAAGGAATACCTGAAACCGATACAAGACTCTAAGATTCAGGTAATAATTCCACTCTCATTGTATTCTTTGCTGTAAAAGATTCGCGGGTATTGTTGAATAGTAAAGGACGAGGTACGGTCGATAAGGGACCTGTTCTGTTCTATAATATCCTATCAATAAATCTTCTTTTATTACTTGGTAAGGGGGAATGAATAGCCAGTGGGCTTAGGAGTTGTTATTTCACGCAGATGCGTAGCGACCCTTCCCGGCGCCCGGGGACAAACTTTCAATTTGGCACCTCCCCTTCCCCCCCCCCTATTTATTTTTATATTTATAATGCAAAACTGCAGCTAAAGTGAGTTTTTAATTTTTTTTTCCTACCCATTTTGGCGCTCCTAGGGTCGGCGCCCGGGGACATAAGTACCCCCCTTCCCGACCCCACCCCCCCCCCCTCGCTACGCCTCTGATTACACGTAATAAGGAGACTAACGCATGTTATGTCGTTTGAGACTAGGTTTGGTTTCCCAAAGAGAAAAAAAAGTACCATTTCGAGCCTGACTGTCGAAGGTACAGTTGGTATAGAGTTTACCTGTACCTGACGGCCAAAGGTACAGTTGGTATAGAGTTCACCTGTACCTGACGGCCAAAGGTACAGTTGGTATAGAGTTCACCTGTAGCTGAAGGCCAAAGGGACAGTTGGTATTGGTATAGAGTTCACCTGTACCTGACGGCCAACGGGACAGTTGGTATAGAGTTCACCTGTACCTAACGGCCAAAAGGACAGTTGGTATAGAGTTCACCTGTACCTGACGGCCAAAGGTACAGTTGGTATAGAGTTCACCTGTAGCTGACGGCCAAAGGGACAGTTGGTATAGAGTTCACCTGTAGCTGACGGCCAACGGGACAGTTGGTATAGAGTTCACCTGTACCTGACGGCCAACGGGACAGTTGGAATAGAGTTCACCTGTACCTGACGGCCAAAGGGACAGTTGGTATAGAGTTCACCTGTAGCTGACGGCCAACGGGACAGTTGGTATAGAGTTCACCTGTAGCTGACGGCCAAAAGGACAGTTGGTATAGAGTTCTCCTGTATTGACGGCCAAAGGGACAGTTGGTATAGAGTTCACCTGTACCTGACGGCCAACGGGACAGTTGGTATAGAGTTCACCTGTACCTGACGGCCAACGGGACAGTTGGAATAGAGTTCACCTGTACCTGACGGCCAAAGGGACAGTTGGTATAGAGTTCACCTGTAGCTGACGGCCAACGGGACAGTTGGTATAGAGTTCACCTGTAGCTGACGGCCAAAAGGACAGTTGGTATAGAGTTCTCCTGTATTGACGGCCAAAGGGACAGTTGGTATAGAGTTCACCTGTACCTGACGGCCAAAGGTACAGTTGGTATAGAGTTCACCTGTACTAGACAACCAAAGGGACAGTTGGTATAGAGTTCACCTGTACTAGACAACCAAAGGGACAGTTGGTATAGAGTTCACCTGTACTAGACAACCAAAGGTACAGTTGGTATAGAGTTCACCTGTACCTGACGGCCAAAGGGACAGTTGGTATAGAGTTCGCTTGTACTAGACAACAAAAGGGACAGTTGTTATCTAGTTCACCTGTACCTGACGGCTAAAGGGACAGTTGGTATAGTTCTCCTGTATTGACGGCCAAAGGGACAGTTGGTATAGAGTTCACTTGTACCTGACGGCCAACGGGACAGTTGGTATAGAGTTCACCTGTACTTGACGGCCAAAGGGACAGTTGGTATAGAGTTTACCTGTACCTGACGGCCAACGGGACAGTTGGTATAGAGTTCACCTGTACTTGACGGCCAAAGGGACAGTTGGTATAGAGTTCACCTGTACCTAACGGCCAACGGGACAGTTGGTATAGAGTTCACCTGTACTTGACGGCCAAAGGGACAGTTGGTATAGAGTTCACCTGTACCTAACGGCCAAAGGGACAGTTGGTATAGAGTTCTCCTGTATTGACGGCCAAAGGGACAGTTGGTATAGAGTTCACTTGTACCTGACGGCCAAAGGGACAGTTGGTATAGAGTTCACCTGTATCTGACAGCTAAAGGGACAGTTGGTATAGAGTTCACTTGTACCTGACGGCTAAAGGGACAGTTGGTATAGAGTTCACTTGTACCTGACGGCCAACGGGACAGTTGGTATAGAGTTCACCTGTACCTAACGGCCAACGCGACAGTTGGTATAGAGTTCACCTGTATCTGACAGCTAAAGGGACAGTTGGTATAGAGTTCACCTGTACCTAACGGCCAAAGGGACAGTTGGTATAGAGTTCTCCTGTATTGACGGCCAAAGGGACAGTTGGTATAGAGTTCACTTTTACCTGACGGCCAACGGGACAGTTGGTATAGAGTTCACCTGTACCTAACGGCCAACGGGACAGTTGGTATAGAGTTCACCTGTACCTGACGGCCAAAGGGACAGTTGGTATAGAGTTCTCCTGTATTGACGGCCAAAGGGACAGTTGGTATAGAGTTCACCTGTACTTGACGGCCAAAGGGACAGTTGGTATAGAGTTCACCTGTTTCAGTGACCTATGAAGGGTTCGTGTGGTCAGCACTATACCCAGACACCTTTAATTTCCCTTACATGAGTCAGGTACCCTTTAGTGCTGGGTGGACTCAGAGACTATGGTTTAGTAGGTGAGAATGAATACCCACTTGAATTGGGGTTGTTATAAAGGAGGCTATGCCGTAAACATCCGGGTTTCGTTTCTTACACAAACCACGTATTATTATTATTGTTGAAAAACTGCCGTTTTCGTGGTCATTGAACAGGCAGAATGTAAGATTGCGACATCATTATAGGGTGAGGTGGGGGGGGGGTATGGTCTGAAAGTATGTGTGTTGTGGTAAAAGAGAAACATTGTGATGTCCTGTATAAACTTCTTTTTCTTCTTCTCCTTCGCTCTTAATTATCTGGTTGGAAGGGATTTCATTCCAACGCAATTGAATATTACATGTCAACCTGTTATGCGCAAAATAAGCCGTTGACTCCGATTTTAGCCTGCTTTTCTTCTTGGATTAGCTTGTCCAACCAAGAAGAAACTACAAAACAGCAGTTGTTTGAATTTGGAGTTGTCTCTCCTAGACGGGTTGCTGTCTCCAGTTGTCTAGCCTCATAGTGCCTAAGACTAATTGTCCAACGTAGCATTTTATTTAAACTTGAATATTCATATTTTAATTTTGCATAGGGGGCCTAAATAATGTTGATTTAATCTATACATTTATTTATTTGCTCAATTGAAAGCAAAATGTACTTTTAAATACTGTATTATATATATATATATATATATATATATATATATATATATATATATATATATATATATATATATATATATATATATATATATATATATATAAACGATGCGCTGATTATATAGTTCAACGTTTCACATCTCAACCATTAATTCCCTCTCATAATTATTTCTTCTGGTGTTTACAAACAAAAATCCAAAATTTCAACGTTTGCGAATATTTTCGCGTATAACATTTTCGTATTGCGCTTTTTAATGTGCGCAATTCTGAAAGTTTCTCAGCCCAAATCCCTGCTAATGCGCATTTTACCGTTTAGTCATATAGGCCTACATTAAAAAATCAACACGTCTGTTTTTTTCCCTATTGTTGAGTGTTATTCTAATGAAGTGGGCTGCACAACAGAGACACTGTTCTCAACCGCTGGACCGAGGGTCGTTGGCGGCAGATGGAAGGAGCTACTACCTCTCATGATTTGTTTTTTTTTTCTCTTGATATGCTGGTTAGTTTATCGATGCTGTTGCCTGTACTGATCACACACACACACTCACACACACATTCGTACACACACACTCACATTCATACACACACACACACACTCACATACACATTCATACACACACACACTCACATACACGTTCATACACACACACACACTCACATACACATTCATACACACATTCGTACACACACACTCACATACACATTCCTACACACATTTGTACACACACACACTCTCTCACATACACATTCGTACACACACACACTCACATTTATACACACACATTCGTACACACACACTCACATACACACACATTCGTACACACACACACACTCACATACACATTCATACACACACATTCATACACACACACTCACATACACATTCATACACACATTCGTACACACACACACACATTCATACACACATTCGTACACACACACACACACTCACATTCATACATACACATTCGTACACACACACACTCACATACACATTCATACACACATTCGTACACACACACTCACATTCATACACACACATTCGTACACACACACACACTCACATACACATTCATACACACACACTCACATACACATTCGTACACACACACACACTCACATACACATTCGTACACACACACACACACTCACATACACATTCATACACACACATTCGTACACACACACACACTCACATACACATTCGTACACACACACACTCACATACACATTCATACACACACATTCGCACACACACACACCATTCACAAAAGACTTTAAAAAAAGCACAACTGGTAAATTGTATAAGTCTATTATCAAGCGGGGGAACAGCTAGGCTCCCACCTTGGATAGGTACATAGAATAGAATAAATAAACAGAGGACAAATAAAAGCTCAGCTAGAGTAGGCTGGTCTTGTGTTACTAGAGAAATAAAAATATCTGTACATAAAGTATTTTAAAAAAATCTTTCCCAAACTACAGGAAATAAATAATTTCACCAAACCAAAAAAATAAAAATAAATAAATAAACAGCTAAAAATAAACCATGACCTCATTTACTAAACATATGTTGGTAGAGCTACCTAGATATGTAATATATTCAAGAATTTCTTAACATAT